CATGTGTATGACGAGAGATGATTGGAGGGCCTATAAGAGGTCAACGAGTTGTCATGTTTGTAATAAACCCCTGAATGGGGATTCCGTAAGAGATCATTGCCACGTCACGGGTAATTATCGGGGAGCCGTGTACAACGAGTGTAACTTGAAACTAAAAATGAATTCTCAAACAATACCCATCCCCGTTGTGTTTCATAACCTTAGAGGATATGATTCACATCTCATTATGCAAGCTATCTCAAAGACCGACGGCGGCTTAACATGCATTCCTAATAATATGGAAAAATACATATCGTTCTCGTTGACTAAAACTATACATTATACGGACAAGGATGGGAAAGCCAGAATAAAGCAAAGTAATGGGCTTAGATTATCATGATTATAGACTCCGTACAGTTTCTGTTATCTTCCCTGGACAATTTAGCTAATGCAAACAATCCCGATGACTTTGCAATAACAAATCAATATACTGATCGGTTAACTCGTCATTTGTTGCTGAGAAAAGGTGTATATCCTTACAAATATATGGATGATTGGTCTAGATTCGACGAAACTAAATTACCACCTCTTGAATCATTCTATAGTAACTTAACAGAATCTAAAATAACCGATGCCGATTATGAACACGCTCTGACGGTGTGGGATAAATTAGGTTGTAAGAATTTAGGTGCTTATCACGATCTGTACTTAAAAACCGATGTACTGTTACTCGCCGATATATTCGAGATATTTAGAAAGACATGTTTAAAACAATACGGCTTGGACCCGGCATGGTACTATTCCAGTCCCGGACTATCGTGGGATGCATTGTTGAAGAAGACCGGCGTGGAACTAAAACTACTCACAGATTAAGATATGCACTTGTTTATTGAGAAAGGGTTAAGAGGTGGTATATCGATGGTAGCGAAAAGGTATTCTAAGGCTAATAATAAATTAGTGGAAGGATATGATCCGAGTAAACCCGACACGCATATATTATATCTCGACGCCAACAATTTGTATGGATGGGCTATGATTCAACTTTTACCCACAGGTGGTTTTGAGTGGATCGATGTGGATCATATCGAAGTGAATGATGCGAATAAAGGGTACATACTAGAAGTTGACATGGAATATCCAAATTCGTTACATAAAGACCATAACAGTTATCCACTATCTCCCGAAAGATTAATGGTGAATAAAGATTGGATGTCGGAATATCAACACTCCTTGATGGGTAATACTAGGTTAGCTAACGTAGAAAAACTCGTACCAAATTTGTTGGATAAGACAAAATATATAGTTCACTACAGAAATCTCCAGTTATATCTATCGTTAGGTATGAAACTAAAGAAAATACACAGAGTTCTAAAGTTTGATCAAAGCCCTGATATATAAGGCTGATAACAGATTTAAGAAAGATAGCTTCCAGCGATTTTGAAAAGAATCTATATAAGCTCATGAATAACTCAGTATTTGGTAAAACTATGGAGAATCTAAGGAAGCGTGTTGATGTTAAATTAGTCAGATCTAATGAGGAAGAAAGACTCAGGAAACTTATAGCCAGTCCAGCTTTTAACAGAAGCAAGATATTCGATAACGACTTAGCAACGTTGCATATGCAGAAGAGTAATATAAAATTCAACAGACCAGTGTACGTTGGTATGAGTATTCTTGACTTGTCAAAACACTTAATGTATGACTTTTATTACAATGAACTTAAGAAGCAGTATGGCAATAGATGCGAGGTGTTATATACCGACACAGATTCTTGGTTGATGGAAATACAAACCGAGGATGTGTATAAAGATATGGCAGAAAAAATAGATATGTACGACACGAGCGATTACCCAAAGATACTCTGCACAGTGAGTAAATAAAAAGGTATTAGGTAAGATGAAGGATGAATGTGCTGGGACTCCTATAGCGGAGTATGTCGGATTAAGACCCAAGACGTATTCTATAAAGAAGTCCGATAATGGGGAGATAAGAAAAGCTAAAGGCGTTAAGAAGTATGTGGTAAAAAAGCATATCAAACACGAACAGTATAAAGAAGCATTATTCAATGGTAGAACGTTCAAACATGAGATGAACTCTTTAAGAAGTTACAATCATAAGATATATGGATTAAGAATGAACAAGACATCATTATCCCCCTTAGATACAAAGAGATGGATTGATAAGGATGGCATGGTTCCCACTGCCACTGGAAAACCTGGAAATGTGTTGGAAAAATTTCCAGTCAGGGAAATATCAGGGAATTCACTAAAAACTTCAAAATCAGGGATTTATCAGGGATTTTTTGCTCTTGGAACTCATACTCTCTATTATTTAATGGTTGTGGCAGCCACTCAAATTTAAGCAATGGAGTTTATTCGTTTGAAAAAGAGGTATTTGTCAAATTTTACTATATCAAGGTCAAGGTCAATGTGGCTGATAGGGATTTGCGCCCCTTACCTCCAGAGCTAACTAAATTCTAAATTTAAAATATTTTGAGTAAAATATTACATTGCCTTGGTATTAGTTTACCATTTGAATTTCAGAAATCAATTTGAATGTAAAATTTCAAATCTCATAAAGTTCTACTGTTCAAGAACAAACAAAATAATGCAATTAGGATTCTATAAAGCTCTTTGTTAATGAAAAGTGTATCAGTGTTAGATAAATCATTGGAAAAACTTAGGGTGACTTCAGTTGTGGTTATAATTATCTATTCCCTGGTGACCTTTTATAAGTGCAGATGTATATTTGAATGGTTAGTTTGTGAAATGCTGTGCATGAATGTTGCACTGAAAGTAGTGATGGTATTTACTTTATTATAATGTTACTAATTAGTTCATGTTCATGTTTCTAAAGTTGTGAGATCCTAGTCCTGAAGTCCATTTTCAAAAATTGTAATACTTGTTTTGATTAGGCAATGATTGATGGAGTTAATTTGTAGTTTGAACTCTTTAAATGGTGGCAGATGGATGGCCTTAAGGGGAGGATAATTACTTGGTGACTTAGTTTTCCTTAAACCAAACATAACACACTTTTGTACAGAAATATCTAAAAAAAAGACGTTTCCATTGGTCTATTTTAAAGCTGTTTATATAATAAAGTTAAAACACCACTCCCAGTTGTTATAATGGAGGCCGTGTAATGCAGTCTGGAAAAGTTCTAAGTTCTCTGGAAATATCAGGGAAATGTCAGGGAATTTTTCGGAAGAAAAAAAGTGGGAACCATGGATGGTGTAACGACCTATGCTTATGGTTATGGTGGTAATACTGTATCGTCGGGAACTATGAGCAACTCTTCTCGTACAAATGCCCTGCCCGGTCCATCTTTAAGATAATAAAGAATAGGCTCTCCTTCTTTCATAACCAATCGACTAATGTTATATGTCTTGAGGGACCAAATCGGATCGGTTGCGCAACGTAGGCCTCCTTCGAGTTCACCGGGCTGATATAAATATTTTACGCTTACTCTATCCGGAAGTTTTTGTTCTTTGCCTCTCCTCGGCGCTGAAGATTCGGAAGTCACGGATTTCATTTTAATCGCATCGGATGGTTTCTTCCGGATTAATCTCGTTACTTCATTATTCAGCGCTGATACAACAGCTGATAATCGTGTCACCCATTCGGTTGATCTCAATCGTTCCGATTTCATTTCGATCCCATTCTGATAGCCAAACAAACGTTCCGCTAATGTCCGGTTAAATCTTTCGACGATAGCTTCACTACGGTGGGCCTCTTTTTCACCACGCCTGATTTCGACATCATGCTTTGTTAACAGTTTAGTTAACGATCCCATAAACTTGCGACCAGGATCTACTTGAAATAGCTTAGGCCATTTTAGTGGTCTGCGTTTATATATGCGACTCAGTGCATTAGCTACTTCTGTTGAATCTTTTGAGGTTAATGGCTCTGCCTCTTTGAATCGACTAGCCACATCCACTACGGTTAAAGCGTATTTATACGTTTTGGGTCTTACCTTATCATGGGGAAGAAACAAGAGGTCAGCCAGATGAACTTCATTCGTTGTAAAAATATCAAACTTCTTCCTCGGTATATAACGCGGTGCCGGTAAGTATATTTGCCACATCGCTTGTTTCTTTAACCAATCCTCCGGCTACATCTTTAGATACCTTAGACGCCTTGGCTAATTTTTGTATTGCTCCTATACCTTTCCAATATCCTCGTGGGTATAGTAAATTTTATTCATTATTAATTAATATTGATGTTTCTTTTAATACGACTTATGACGATCGTTAAATCACAGTAGCGTTTATGCATAAAAAATTCCCCCTGTAGTGGTGGTATAGGTATATAAATCTGGCTCCAGTGGAGTTGCAGCAGAACCCCCATTACCTATACTACTCCTGTAATTGATAGTGTGAGCAATGATCCATGCCATTGGGGTGCAATGACACTATCAACCAAGTCATGGAATCAGACTACCCAATCCATTAAGTAACGGGTTAGAAAATGTTTTTAGGCGACTAAAGGGGTCGGGTGGTGAGACTCACTGACTTGGTTGATGCATGTCATTGCGAAGATCCATGATGCTCATGATGTCATCACTGGATTATCTTGTCCAGACTTGATTATTTACAGACTACCACCATATAGCTGGAATACTGCCAAATGTGGCATTTAACAACAAACATAACATACTCTCACACCCAGTTTAGGTTGCTGGGACAATCTTTTTATTAAGTGGTCAAGTCCCAGTGTAGGACTCACCATAATAATAGGTTCAGCTATGTAAGATCTTAATATTTTTCACAATATGATTGTTACCAAAAAATAAAGTGTTGAAATAATGCTGTTGGTTTATTTCTGCAGACTATTTCAGAAAAGACCCAATGTGTTAGGGTACACTATCTATATCCCCAGATGTATCGTGAATTTTGAGTGAGTGAGTTGGGTTTAACATTTTTCCAGTTATATCACGGTATGTCAGTTTAATGTGGGAGGAAAGCCTGAAGTGATGCAGGTCTCAGACGTTTACCACTTTGGTGAAACCCACGAGCACGGGTATGGAAACATAATCCCGGGTGAACCGGGATTCGAACCCACAATCATAAGTTTTTGGCGTGTCCAGGGGACGATACTCTGCTCAGCGAATCGGGGCGCCTTAGGCGGCTGGGCCACCTGTGCCCCCTCGTGAATTTTGAGGTCATAAGTTAATGACTGATGATCCATAAAACTTTGGTTCTGGAAAGCTAATAATTAGTTTGGCCTCAAGTCTGAAATTTGTATGTTTAATGGTTTCAAGATGATATAGTTCAGAAACCTGCTTGTGTCATGGATACCAAAGTCATGGCAAAAACAAATGTACTAAATCTGTAGCCTAATGCTCTCCCTAAAAGTTGTCAATAATACACATCAACAACCTGAAACTTCAGGCAAAAGGCAAGAAGAATTACTGGTAAACATATTGTCGGAACCGTTCCTTGCTCATTTTAAGGATTGCAGCTGTCACTGGAATGTGTTGATCAACCAGCAGTTTATACCTCACCTGCAATGTACTGTTCCCAAAACCTAGTACCAGTGCATTACTCATAATGTCTGTTGGTTTTAATTCACAGACATTCAAGAGGAAGTCCAAATTTTGTTTCAACTTTGGCACATTGACAGTGAGAAGACGTCTGTACTGTTGAAGCATATAGTTTAAGTCCTCAGTGGTACAGTCAAGACGGGTTAGAACATAATCAGTTTTATTCTTACAGTTAACCTCCCGAAGGATCTCTCGATCCACCAAAAGGTTGTTCAAACACTTCTGGAAGTCACCTCTGTTTGACTGAATTAGAGTCATGAAAGCTTTAGAGTACTCAGGGTAAAACACTCCTTTCTTTTTCAAAATTGTCAACTGTTCTTCTAAAGTTTTATGGGAACTAATAAGAACATACAAGCGTTCAAGTATTGCTTCACTTGGCACTCCATAATTCTTTAAGATCTCAATATTATTCTTCAATGTGAGAAGCTTTGATTTTCTGAACCAGCCACGGTCCTTGAGGGCAGCTGCCGCTTCTTCACGTGAGCACTCTAACAAACTGCTTAACAAAGCTTCATGATCTTTGAACTCCAGCTCAGCATCCCTATCAATTACCAGTCTATTTACGCGTGTCTTGAACTTGGATGTTGACAAGGTGACAAGACTGAGCCTTGGCTGCATGCCTGACCTCTGCAATGATTCCATGCGCTCTTGCAGTGTGGAAACACTGCATCTGAATACACTTGGGTAGCTGAACATTTCCCTTGCTGTTACCCCATGAGATGTAAGAAGCAAAGAACAAGTTTGAAATTTGCCCCTGCTCATGGAGAATACTTGAAAATTTGATCTCAAGAAATTTTCCATTTCTTTCTGAGGTAGGTGAAAATGTTTTGACAAGAAGGAGGCCCTGTACTCCAGTTCAGACTGCTTTGATGCCTCTGAATGATTCTGAGAGGATCCATTTGTACATTCCACAGGCAACCTGGAAGACTGTCTCAACAACCTTGGCAGGATAGTCAGGAAGCAACTGTCAAGGGGCACAAATCTGACCCGCAGAGCAAGGCTCATTTTTCTCGAAATGGTGAAAATGGTCGCAAAACCATTTCCTAGGGATGATTTGTTGCATGAATTTCCTTCATCCGCATGATGATAGATGACGGTCAATCTGTAAAAGAAATAAGTTCTAGAAGGGTATTTGTTTCAATGTGTGCCACAGGGAACATCAGGAAGATGTTAAGGTCTGCAATTTGGTATTAAAGTGAGCCAACAACAGGAACGCTTTTGATAAAAAAACAACATTGTTATTTGTCCAACAACCGTATTTTCTGGGCCCTTAAGCAGGAAACTATGAGCTGGACAATCAGATGGAATTTAGGAAGTTTGTCCTCCTTCGGTCTCCCTTAGATTGATAATACAGTGATCTCTCACTATTGCGCCATTCGATAAAGTTCCAACTCGTTTACTGCGTGTGGTAATGCATGGCTCCCCAAATTTATGTTCATTCTTAATACTCAAAGTTTTACACCAACCCGATTGTATTGTTGTTCATGTTTCATTTGTACTTGATGGTTCTCAAAGCATATGAATGGAGCCCTAATATTACGCTTGAAAGCAACCGCGACAAGTCCTGGAAATATGATTGTTCTACAAGTTAACTTGTCACACAAAACATCCTTTGATCTTTGAAGTGCATGCTTGCAATAAAAGTGTAACACCATCTAAAGTTTCTGATTCAATGATTATTTTCTGAATTCTACTGAACATCAAGGGTGTTCATATGTTCATCATTTTCCTATATTTTCCTTTGTTTTGTTCAAGTTACCTGCATAAACATGAAAAAAGAACATTTATCACTCGCTCCATATAATACACATCATTACTTATATAATTTTATTTTTGATTTCTAGGTGTGCCCTTTTGGCACAAGGGACATATCTTAATTGTGCCATCTATGATTCTAACTGTACCACCACCAGTCTCATATCGGTGTCTGACATAGCTGCTTGCCCATTTTCCTGTGGCTGGTAACATATCTGTTGGGACAGGTGAAATGTATTCCTTCGTGTCTGACTGTCAAGGAGAAAGGTTCATTGGTACACCATGCTTAGAAATTAATACTTATTTTCTCTAGTCCACACACATGTTCTGCTACAGAGTTGCCTTCTAACTGAGGGTGGGGTGGTGGGGTAGCCTTGTGGTACAGTGTTTGCTCGTCACGCCAAAGGCCCAGGTTCGATTCCCCACATGGGTACAATGTGTGAAACCCATTTCAGGTGTCCCCCGCCATGATACTGCTGTAATGTTGCTAAAGGCAGAGTAAAACCAAACTCACTCACTCACTCTAACTAATGGTATAAGTGGTAGTCTTTCATGACTTTTGCTAGTCTCAGAAAAGTGGAATTATGTCCATTTCCAGCCCTGTACACTGACAGTTATTATTTGGAATCAGACATTGATATTTGGCTCACCTATCTGAGAGCGAAACTTGCAGTTAAAAGCTGTAAATGTTAAAAACAGAAGGAAGAGTAAATGTGAGAAAAATTATGATTATCTACTCAAGCAAGTTTTTACCAGCAACTTTTAAGACAGGCTGATTACTTTCAGGAACCACCAGATCACCTGGCTTGTTGAGAGCAAAAGACATTTCAAACGCTGACTATCAAACAAGGAAATATGAACTTGAATTTACTCTGTTTAATCAGGGTATCATTAGGTGAGGTGAAATTGGGTTTTACGTCGCGTCCAAGAATATCACACTTGTATAGCGATGTGCGTGCGTGCGTGCATGCGGCTGCTCGTACTAGTCCGGACTGATGCCGATTTATAGTGCTAGCTCACTGAGATACCATGCCGCAGTTTAACATGAATATCCCACTCAGACACAGTATACTGACTCCGAGCCGACCAGTCCTTGTTTTATCCCCCTAATGCCAAGTGCCAGACAGGGTAACAACAAGTACCATCTTTTAACATCTTTTAACATCTTTTGGTATGATGTGGCTGGGGATCGAACCCTGGACCTTCCGCTCTCCGGGCGGACGCTCTACCTCTAGACCACGGAGGCTGTCTATCATTAACTACAGGACTGACATAAGATCAAACTAAACCAAGTCTAGTTTCATTGATGTCATATGGAAACAACAGAGGAGGAAAGTTTCTTTTGAAAAAAATAAATCACAATTATTTTGAAGAAATGATTTCATAGACTCAGTGTTAGTCTAGACTGGTATACATGACACATTTGGAGGTTGCAGGCAAAAAGATTGAAGTCAACAAGGAATGTGAGGGAGATGCACTGTGGCAGCCAATCGGAATTCTTTTCAAATGAACAGTTTACTTTGTTATCTTGGTTTTAGCTAGTTCACACTTTTTTAATTTTATGTTTCACAGATTTATTCCAGCTTTTCCACACAGTCGATCAAAATAATAATCAAAATAAAAAAACTTTGTCAAATCATTTATTTATTTATATGAAAGTCATTCTGACATGGAATTAAAACTGCAGCTGCCTTCTTGAATCACTGATTGTGATGTTGAAATGGAATTTGTATATAGCATTTTTCATTGTATAAGAGGGTCTATATTACTAGCAGGAGACATAATATAAATATATATTTTTATGTGTTATTTAATTCTTGGACTGGCTGCTTTTCAGTGGTGATTTGTTTTGTAGATTAGGAACAGAAGAGGTTTTAAGTTTCTATTCTAACAAACAGGTGATGATGGAAGTTAAGGTGAACACACCAAGGTGTTCAAATACACATGAAGATTGAGTCTCAGATATACCATGATAATGATATGAATACATTTGCCTATCTTACTACTTCAATCTGAACCATCCCTAGGCGTGCAACAGTTGATTGAACTGTCAATGACAAGTTCAGATATTGAGAGTTACCATCACTGCTGAGCTACACGGTTGCTTGAACTGTCAATGACAAGTTCAGATATTGAGAGTTACCATCACTGCTGAGCTACACAATTGATTGAACTATCAATGACAAGTTCAGATATTGAGAGTTACCATCACTGCTGAGCTGAACAGTTGATTGAACTATCAATGACAAGTTCAAATATTGAGAGTTACCATCACTGCTGAGCTACACGGTTGCTTGAACTGTCAATGACAAGTTCAGATATTGAGAGTTACCATCACTGCTGAGCTACACAATTGATTGAACTATCAATGACAAGTTCAGATATTGAGAGTTACCATCACTGCTGAGCTGAACAGTTGATTGAACTATCAATGACAAGTTCAAATATTGAGAGTTACCATCACTGCTGAGCTACACGGTTGCTTGAACTGTCAATGACAAGTTCAGATATTGAGAGTTACCATCACTGCTGAGCTACACAATTGATTGAACTATCAATGACAAGTTCAGATATTGAGAGTTACCATCACTGCTGAGCTACACAGTTGATTGAACTATCAATGACAAGTTCAAATATTGAGAGTTACCATCACTGCTGAGCTACACAGTTGATTGAATTATCAATGACAAGTTCAGATATTGAGAGTTACCATCACTGCTGACCTACACAATTGATTGAACTATCAATGACAAGTTCAAATATTGAGTGTTACCATCACTGCTGAGCTACACAGTTGATTGAACTATCAATGGAAAGTTCAGATATTGAGAGTTACCATCACTGCTGAGCTACACAGTTGACTGAACTATCAATGACAAGTTCAAATAGTGAGAGTTACCATCACTGCTGAGCTTTACAATTGATTGAACTATCAATGACAAGTTCAGATATTGAGTGTTACCATCACTGCTGAGCTGAACAGTTGATTGAACTATCAATGACAAGTTCAAATATTGAGAGTTACCATCACTGCTGAGCTACACAGTTGATTTAACTGTCAATGATAAGTTCAGATATTGAGAGTTACCATCACTGCTGAGCTACACAGTTGACTGAACTATCAATGACAAGTTCAAATATTGAGAGTTACCATCACTGCTGAGCTACACGGTTGCTTGAACTGTCAATGACAAGTTCAGATATTGAGAGTTACCATCACTGCTGAGCTACACAGTTGATTGAACTGTCAATGACATGTTCAGATATTGAGAGTTACCATCACTGCTGAGCTACACAGTTGATTGAACTATCAATGACAAGTTCAAATATTGAGAGTTACCATTACTGCTGAGCTACACAGTTGATTGAATTATCAATGACAAGTTCAGATATTGAGAGTTACCATCACTGCTGAGCTACACAATTGATTGAACTATCAATGACAAGTTCAAATATTGAGAGTTACCATCACTGCTGAGCTGAACAGTTGATTGAACTATCAATGACAAGTTCAAATATTGAGAGTTACCATCACTGCTGAGCTACACGGTTGCTTGAACTGTCAATGACAAGTTCAGATATTGAGAGTTACCATCACTGCTGAGCTACACAATTGATTGAACTATCAATGACAAGTTCAGATATTGAGAGTTACCATCACTGCTGAGCTACACAGTTGATTGAATTATCAATGACAAGTTCAGATATTGAGAGTTACCATCACTGCTGACCTACACAATTGATTGATTTATCAATGACAAGTTCAGATATTGAGTGTTACCATCACTGCTGAGCTACACAGTTGATTGAACTATCAATGACAAGTTCAAATATTGAGTGTTACCATCACTGCTGAGCTACACAGTTGATTGAACTGTCAATGGAAAGTTCAAATATTGAGAGTTACCATCACTGCTGAGCTACACAGTTGACTGAACTATCAATGACAAGTTCATATATTGAGAGTAACCATCACTGCTGAGCTACACAGTTGATTGAACTATCAATGACAAGTTCAAATATTGAGTGTTACCATCACTGCTGAGCTACACAGTTGATTGAACTATCAATGACAAGTTCAAATATTGAGTGTTACCATCACTGCTGAGCTACACGGTTGATTGAACTGTCAATGACAAGTTCAGATATTGAGTGTTACCATCACTGCTGAGCTACATGGTTGATTGAACTATCAATGACAAGTTCAAATATTGAGAGTTACCATCACTGCTGAGCTACACAGTTGATTTAACTGTCAATGATAAGTTCAGATATTGAGAGTTACCATCACTGCTGAGCTACACAGTTGACTGAACTATCAATGACAAGTTCAAATAGTGAGAGTTA